CCGGCAGCCCCGCTTCCCATCCGGCTCCCTGCCTGTGGCCCAGGAGAGCAGTCGAGGACGGCCCAAAGCTTTGGGACCCTACACCCGCGTGGGAGACCCAGAAGAGGCTCCTGGATTTGGACCAGCATAGCATCAGCCGTTGTGCTCACTTGGGGAGTGAATCATCGGACGGAGGATCTTCCTGTCTCTCCTCCTCTCTGTATATCTGATTTTCCAATAAAAATAAATAAATCTTTAAAAAAAAAAAAGACCCAAATAAAGATTCACTATCAAGTTTTTCTGGGACAAGTGCTAAAGGAAAATGTTCACCTGCGAGGCCAGCATCCCAATACAGATGTTGGTTCAAGTCCTAGCTGCTCGAATTCCTAAACAGCTAGGAAAGCGGTGGAAGATGGTGCAGGTGCTGGAACCCTTGTACCCAAATGGGAGACCTGGATGAAGCTCTGGGTTCCCTGGCTTCAGACTGGCCCAGCCTGGCCATTATTGCCCCTTGGGGAGTAAATCACCAAACAGAAGATCTATCAATCTCAATTCTCTTTCTCTTGCTTTCACTTTTTGTTACTCTAATTTCCAAATAGATAAATAAATAAATCTTTTTTTTAATTTAAAAAAAAATAGATTGTTTTCTTCCTGGCAACTAAAGTGGCTATTCAATCAGTTGAAATCACACCCTGAGTCCTCAAATAATCACCATCAACACAAACTCTGTTAGCTCATACTGAATGTTTCTCTTTTATTCGTAAAAAATTGACTCAGCCAAAAAACAAAATCTAAAAGTGGGCCCAGCACCATAGCCTAGTGCCTAAACTCCTTGCCATGCTCACACTGGGATTCCATATAGGCTCCACTTCCCATCCAGCTCTCTGTTTGTGGCCTGGGAAAGCACTAAAGGATGGTCCAAAGCCTTGGAACCCTGTACCCATGCGGGAGACCTGGAAGAAGCTCCTGGCTCCTGGGTGCAGATGGACTCAGTTCACCTCCGGCCCATTGCGGACATTTGCAGAGTGAACCAGCAGATGGAAGAATTTTTCTCTGTCTCTCCTTCTCTCTGTAAATCTTTCCATGGGCCTGGCACAGTAGCCTAGCAGCTTAAGTAACTGCCTCACGTGCGCTGGGATCCTGTGTGGGCACCAGTTCTGATCCCAGTGGCCCTGCTTCCCATCCAGCTCTATGCTTGTGGCCTGGGAAAGCAACTGGGGACGTCCCCAGAGCCTTAAGATGCTGTACCCATGTGAAAGACCCAGAAGAGTCTCTGGACTCCTGGCTTCAGATCAGTGCAGCTCCAGCCATTGTGGTCACTTGGGGAGTAAATCAGCAGACAGATCTTTCTCTGTCTCTCCTCCTCTCTGTATATTTGACTTTCCAATAAAAAATAAATCTTTTTTAAAAATCTGACTTTCCAATAAAAATAAATAAATATTTTTTAAAAAAAAATTTCTAAAAGTACCATGGTACTAAATAAAGTCTCAAGGAGATTTGAAGGCTACACAAGGGATTTGAGGCAGAATATGGGTAAGTTCAGCCCAAAAGCCACAGAGTATCTGCTTTAAACATTGCATTTCTGGAGAGATTCCTTTGGTGGAACCCTAAACTCACCCTTCAGAGCTGGTGTTATGTGCCATATGCAGTGACTTAGAGGTTCCCTAATCCACCACTTTCCTAGCTTTGGTCCGGAAATTTATAGGCAAGTGTTTCCAGGAAAACTAGCAGCAAATAGGCCAATTCACAGCTTAGCTGAACATGCAGATTATGCAGGTTGGGGAGATCTCAGGTTTCACTCCTGCCTCCAAAAAAACGTCTGGGCAACACCAGCATGAGCTGATCATCCACCTGCAGTGCTTGGGGCCTTGGTTCAGGCTGCTCCATTTCCCATTCAGCTCCCTGAGAAAGCAGCAGAGGATAGCTCAGATGCCTGGGCCCCTGTACTCACAGGAAGACTCAAAGGAAGCTCCTGATTCCTAGTTTGGTTCAACTCAGCCCTGGTTGTTGGGATCATTTGAGCAGGGAGTTGAGAGGTGGTGAACAAGTGAATGCAAGATCTCTGTATCCAGGCCTGACGCAGTGGCATAACAGCTAAAGTCCTCGCCTTGAACATGCAGCGATCCCATATGGATGCCAGTTCTAATCCAGGTGGCTCCACTTCCCACTCAACTCCCTGCTTGTGGCCTGGGAAAGCAGTCAAGGGCGACCCAAAGCCTTGGGACCCTGCACCCATGTGGGAGACCCAGAAGAAGCTCCTGGCTCCTGGCTTTGGATCAGCTCAGCTCTGGCCATTGCAATACTTGGGGAGTGAATCAATGGATGGAAGATCTTCCTCTCTGTCTCTCCTCCTGTCTGTATATCTGGCTTTCCAATAAAATAAATATTTTTAAAATTTTATAAATAAAAATAAATAAATATTTTTTAAAATGGTATGGGCACCAGAGCAATGTACCTGTAAAGCAGCAGCCTTGTCAAACACCCAGAACATCTCCTGTGCCCCATGAATGTCATTATAGACACTTTAAGTGAGCGACCAAACGCCAGTACTTGGGACACCTGCAGAGAACTGTCCTGATTAATGATCATCTGCCAAACTGATTTTCCTGTAGAGACAGCCACTTCTGTATTCTTGCTTGTAACACACTCTCTCTGATAAATGTAATACCAGAGACTAGGACGAGAGTTTTATCTGATGCCTAAGCCTATCCATTCAGAGCCCCTCAGTTTTAAGCCATGGTCTGTTTCACTTCACTCTACACCTCTGACTGCAGTCACCTGGAAACTGAACAACTGACCACCTGAAAATTATGCTGGCCTGTGAATAGTAGAAAGCATTACTTTCTTCTGCTTTAGGCTTTTTTTTTTTTTTTTTAAGAATTACAGCTTTAGCAGCCTACAGGGAAAATATGACTAACTCTCATGAATTCTTAACACTACCTTTTTTTTTTACTGTAATTTCTTTATTTGCAGCTTGATACCTGATGAACCCATCACATCACATCGCGTCCTATATGCTGACATTATTACAGGACTTATTTGTCCACAAGACAAACAGAATGCCTAGTCACAGTCTGCAAACTATTCTGGTAAAACCCAAGGCCAGCACTGCGGAATGACTGACTGAGGACATTCAAACGTAACTGAAGGGTTGGCATCGATGTGTACTATATTAAGCTGCTATCTACAGCATCAGTATCCTCTATGGGCACTGCTTCAAGTCCTGGCTCCACTTCTGATCAAAGCTCCCTGCAAATGTCCCTGCCTGGGAAGGCAGTGGAAGTTGGCCCAAATGCCCGCACCAATGTGGGAGACCTGCAAGAAGCTCCTGGAATAGGCCTAGCTCCGTTACTGACCATTATGGTGATCTGTGGACTGAATCAGTGAACAAGTGATCTCTTTCTCTATAATTCTGCCTTTCAAATAAGCCTTTTTTTTTAAATGTACTTGAGCAAATGCTTGTTGATTAAAAATGCAAGCAAGCCAAAATCCAGGGCAAAGATACCTAAAGGCAGAGTCCAGAAGTGAAGTGGCCAATAACAAAGGTCACTTCTCACACTGTGTGCTGAGACTTTATGGTTAAATAAATGATGACACATCTTCCAAAGTCTGTGATGATGGGCCAGGGACCCCTGCTTCCACTGCCCCCTCTCTGGCCAAAAAACACTCTGTACGTCTATACTCAAAGACTGGCCCACAGCAGAGCCTGCTTCCCAAAGCAGATGGTCACTGCCCCTCCAGAAGACAAAGAAGCTCTCAGTGACACCATGCCTGGCATCATCTGGGAATGAGGGTCCTCCAACCCTGAACGGCACCTGCTGATGCAAACAGCACCAATGAGGCAAGGCACTGGCCAACTAACAGCTGTCAGAGTCCACTGCACCCTGGGTTTCACTGACTTGGGAGGAGGAAAGTTCATTCCAACCACAACTTTCCTCTCAAGCAACACCAATATGGGGCCTGTGGCGCTTTGGACACAGCCTTAATTGCCACCTGCGGGTCTGCTCTATAGTCCTTTAAAACCACAGTGTAATTCTCTACAAATGCAAGTGGGGTGAGCCTGAAGCATCACCAGGGACAATGAGCCATTTACTTTGAATGCTTCCTGATTACCCATTTCTCCATCTCTCCTCTCTCCTGACCTAAGCCAGCCAGCCACTCAGCGAAGGTGCTCTCTGCAGGCATTATGGCCAAAAGCAAGTGAGATGGAAATCAATCACTGAGCAGTGACCAGAGCAAGGAGAGGGAGAGCTTCGTGCCTTTCTGTTCCCTCCACCATCCTGACCTTGTCATCTCATCATCACCTTCCACAACCTGCACATGCCCATCTGTAGCTACTCCTCTGCCCAGCAGGTCAGACAACCACAGCAGGTGGTCGGAAGGAAAGAGGAGATCCTACCAATCAGGGCAGAAAAGTGAACAAAAACCCTCTTCCTTCCATCTCCTACCCAGTGCTGGGAAGACCTCACGAGCGTAAGGTGTTTGCCTACGGGGTTAGGGTTAGAGGCAGTAAGCATCCAGGTAGGGCTCCATCTGCAGGGGGACCCCCATCCTACACTAGGATGCCCTGGGCCACCCCAGGCTGGGCAGGGACCTGTGGGAATCTCATATTCCCATTGGGGGAAGCAGCCAGCTCCGTTTATAGAAAATAACGTGACGTGAAAACCAAGATCTAAAATGTTTGTTATTCACACAAAGTTGCACTAAAATTCCCAGCTGTTGCTTCACATGGGTTTTTGCATTTTCTGAGGAAAACATGTTACAGAAGGGTGTGAATGTCTTTCAGTCATAATTGAAGTCAGATCTATCAAAAACTCACTAATATTAACCCTTGAGCTGCTGTAGCTTATTCAATCAGGATCACATGACTAGCAAGTGTCACTAGATTAGATTTTTAAAAGGGAAATTATTTAGGATAAAAGCAGTGTACCCTAGAAAGCCCACCACTTCCCAAGGGGTCAGGTCTGCAGTCCTAGTCCCCCACAGCAGAAGAACTTGGCCTGGAGAATCTGTTCTCTTACCGTGTTTTGCGTCCTTTGGTGCATTCGCGGCACTCCTCTGATGGTGCTGCAATGAACAAGCAAAAAAAAGCAGAATCGAGACAGCCACCTGATACCCAAAGCCAGAGGCCTGCACCAAGCCCCCAGGGGTGAGGTTCAGCATTAGCTTTCACTTATTCAGCCCCTGGCTGAAGCAAGAAGGCTTACCTGCCATTGTCTGACCCAAAGATGAGGCTCTACCCAGCAAGACCTGCTCCTAAGAAAAAGAAGATGAATAATTAATAAGTCATCAGAACTTGGAGCTGACAGTGTGTGTCACCTGGGTAAGACAGAAACACTGCTCACTTCTACTCTGGAGAAAAAAGCCCAAACAATGGAGGATCATGTGCGCATGGTGGGGACCAGGTCTCTGCTTCAAACAGTACTGTTGTTTTTAAGATTTAGTCATTTTTGGGCCCGGTGGCGTGGCCTAGCAGCTAAAGTCCTCACTCTGAATTCACCAGGATCCCATATGGGTGCCGGTTCTAATCCCGGCAGCCCCGCTTCCCATTCAATTCCCTGCTTGTGGCCTGGGAAAGCAGTCAAGGACGGCCCAAAGCCTTGGGATGCTGTACCCCCGTGGGAGACTTGGAAGAAGGTTCCGGGCTTCTGGCTTCAGATCGGCGCAGCACCAGCCATTGCAGTCACTTGGGGAGTGAATCATCAGACGTAAGATCTTCCTCTCTGTCTCTCCTCCTCTCTGTATATCTGACTTTACAATAAAAATAAATAAATCTTTAAAAAAACACAGATTTAGTCATTTATTTGAAAGTCAGAGTGACAGAATAATAAGCAGAGACAGAAAGATCTTCCATCTGCTAGTTCACTCCCCAAATGGCCTCCATGGCTAGGGCTGCGCCAAACTGAAGCCAGGAGTCTGGAACTACATTTGGGTCTCCCATATGGCTGACAGAAGACAATGGGCCATCTTCTACTGCCTTCCCAGGGGTATTAGCAGGGATCTGGATCAGAAGCAGAGTGACCAGGACTGGAGTCAGCACTTTGGTCTGGGATGCCAAGGTTGCAAGCAGCGTAAATGGCACCAGTCCCCTAAGCACTAGTTTGAGATTAAGTAAAAGCTAGCCTTGGCCACTAAAACATCCCAAGGAGACACTTGCTATTAGAGGGAAAGCACTCTCTGGAAATTGCTTACCTGGTTTCCAGGTCTGGCTGAGCAAGAAAGTCAGTTCTGATCATATATACATATAAATATGTATATATGTGTATATATATATGTATGTATATATGTATATTCCATTTGTTGGTTCACTTCCCCAGTGACCACAGGACCAGGCCAAAGCCAGGAACTCCACCTGATTTCCCACAGGGCAGACGGAGCCAAGTACCTGGGCCATCCTGGCTGCCTCCCTGGGCGTGCATTAACTCGAGGCTGTAGTAGAAGCAGAGCAGCTGGGACTCAAGTACTCCGACTGGGACTCCAGGTTCAGGTACTCGGACAACCAGGAGCAGCAGCTTAGTCACTGTACCCACTGCTCACCCCAGAAGTTTTCTCTTTATTTTTAAAATGGTTTCTTTTCATAAGCATGGTCGCCCATCAGCAGTGTTCATGAAACTTTTTATCCTCTTGTTCTTTCCTCCACAAATACGCCTCCCCGTGCTGAGGCACTGGAACCAAAAAGACACCGTCACCATACCGTGGCATTCAACACCAGTCTGAGTGGGCGACCGTCACGCTGCTGCCTCCAGCCCAGGCCTCCGTCTCACCTCAAGCTCAGTGTCGCACCGTGCCTCCCCCACATGTAAACCTAACTTGGCGAAAGCCACGGTCTCGCGCGTCCCCGTCCACAGTCCCTCCTTGCTTCGTGTTGCCCAGAGCCTTCTTGGAACCCTCATGCTTTCTGGGCTGAGCAGGCTCTGTCTAGGGGCTAGTCACTGCTTGGTTCCCCTCACAGAAATGAACACCAGTCGCTGCTCACCAGGTCTCGGGGCCTGAAAGGCACAGGTGAGTCTCTGACGGGGCGGAGAGGAGACCGGCTCCACCCTGAGGCCTGGACGGGCGGAGAATGCCTGGGGTCACCAGAACCCACAGGCTTCCGAGGGACCCCACAGGCTTCCGAGGGACCCCACAGGCTTCCGAGGGACCCCACAGGCTTCCGAGGGACCCCACAAGCTAAGGAGCGTCCTACAGCCAGGAAGGTCGGCTCCCGATAAGCGCCCAGTGTGGGTGCTTCCAGGAGCTTCGAGAAAAGCGGGAAGCGGCACCCGGCCACGGCGCTGACAGGAAGCGGAAGCAGCGCCAGGCCGCCTGGGCTCCGCCCTCCCCGCCTGCACCTCTCTCCGGCGCGTGCTCTGAGTGGCTCCGAGGCAGGAACCCGGGCTAAGGGGCTGCTCCACGCTGGTTCATTCTGCGGGCAGTTTCTCTCATGCCAGCAAATCCTCTCCGTTCTGCCTTCCAAGCAGTCCGGGATATTCATGCTCCCCGTCATAACCCTGGCACCATTGTGCTCTCCAGACCCTCAGCTGAAGTATCTATTAGACTGCTCAGGGTCGCCTTTACTTTCCTCCAAGAACTGATCCTCCACCCAGAAGCTCCTGCGATTTTTTTTTAGCACACCAGGGTGGCAGTGACATGCCACTTCTCCGCTGAAACTGCAGAAGTTACTCGCTCAGTTCCGGACGCCACAGGCCTGACACCAGGGCATTGACTGGCGCTGCTCCTGGAGGGAGCATCCCGGTGTTGGCCCTTCTCTCGGCTTCTTGTGGCTGCTGGCTGTGCTTGGAGGCTCTTGGTCTGGTGCCTGCATGACTCCAGGGCTGGCCTTCTCTGCACCTGCGTCCACTCCATTTTTTCATGGGAACATTTGTGGAATTTAGGCTCACATTAAATCCAGCGTGATCTCAGCTTGAGATCCTTGATGACATTTGAGGAAACCCTACTTGCAAATGAAGTCACGTTCACCGGCCTGGGAGATTAAGACTCAGACGGATGTGCTTTTCAGGAGGCCACTCTCCAGCCCAGGACACAAACCAGGTCAGGTCACCCCTTCAAAGCTTCCCACCTCGGTACAGTACCACGCTTCTGCATAATCTGCCCACCTCTCTGACTGTCTCACCTGCTGCTCTCACATTTCTCACACCCTTAGAAGCTCTTCTGCCCTCTGCCTTTCATGCACCTGCCAGCCTCAGGCCACTACACTCTGCCTCTGCATGTTCCAGTCTCCCCTTGCTCCTTCTTGGAGATCCTCCAAATCTTTTCTCAGGAGTCACTTTCTCCTGAGCCTTCCTTTGACCAAACTCCTTGGATCATTTCCCATTATTTTTCATCACAGCACTCAACTGTGTCAGATAGTATCTTGGATTGCTTTTTTTATTAGTGTATTTTCTATCTTCTACCATTAACACCTAAGCTCTGGGAGACAAGGGTTTCTTCCCATCTCATTCACTGCAACAGCTGAAGAGTGATCTCTGGTACCTTCAGGCCTTCAGGAACTGTACTTAAAATGCAATTGGAATTGCACGACATAGAAATTACTAACATTCTCATGTTGACAGCGCACAATCCTAGAGCCACACTCAAAACAGTAAATGCATCTGTAAATAAAATAAAAACGTGATTTTATAACATCCCAGAAAAAAATCATCTTATCCTGATGGCATCTGATGATACCAAAGCAAAATGGCTAGCAGCCACCAGAGGAGTAAATTTGTTTGAAACTTTGCTGAAATCCAACAAAATGCACAATTTGCAATACCAATAAGGGAAAGCCTGAATTATTTTTATTGTCTCTGTAAAAAATAATGTTATAAAGCTTGTATAGAGAAAGGTACTCTGTAAATATTTTTAGGAAGAAAGAAGTCCTGTAGAGAAGAATCAAAAAGTCTAATATCATGTAATTGTCTAGAGAAGCTTACTTTTAGAAAGCCAAAAGTCAGCTTTTTTAAATGACTTATGTTGATCTCTTTGCTTAGCTTTAGGTGACACATGATGTAGCACATATTTGTGGAGTGTATAATTTGGTAAGCTTTGGGCTGTCCTGGACTGCTTTCCCAGGCCACAGACAGGGAGCTGGAAGGGAAGCGGGGCTGCTGGGATTAGAACCGGCGCCCATATGGGATCCCGGGGCGTGCAAGGCGAGGACCTTCAACCACTTGCGCCACCGCGCCGGGCCCAAGCTTTGACTTTTTTATATGTTCTTGAAATCCTCACACCCAAGGGCATGGGTCACATGGTTATAAGACGGGAATATCCATTTCCTCAGGTCCCTTCCTTGGGACCCTTTAGGATCGTTTGAAGTCTTCCCTTTCTCTCTCTTTGAGAGGATTGTAGGTTCATTCTGATCTGGTTTAGAATAATGTTTAATCTCCCTCCTGGTTTCTTCTTTGACCTATTTAGAAGTTTGTTCTGTTTCCAAATTTGAAAGGCTTCCGAAAGTCATTCTTTTGTTAATTTCTTAGATAAATCCACTGTGGTCAGAGAACATACTTTATGTGACTTGAATCCTCTTAAATATATTGAGACTGTTTGATGTTACAGAATACAGCCCATCTTGAGGGGTGAACTTTGCAGACAATATATAAGTCTGTCTTTTGGAGGGAGTGAGTGCTTGTTAAACATCCATCAGGTCTAGCTAGTTGATAGGTTGACCTTGTCTTTCTATGCTCTTGTTTTCTCTGCCTACTCTATTGTTGGGTTATGGGTTTAAAATCACCAACTGTATTTAGATATTTGCCTACTTCTCCTTGCAGCTATATTTGTTTTCACTTCATATACTTTAAAGCTCCATCATTAGATATATAAATGTTTAGAATTTCTATGTCTTTTTAATGAATTGACTTTATCTTTAGGAGATAAATCTTCATCCCTGGTAATTCTCTTTACTCTGAAAATGACTTTATCTGACATTGTAGGCACTATAATTCTACTTTAATTGGTATAAACATGATAAACTTTCCCTATCCTTTTATATTTATTTGTGTCTTTATGATTAACAGTGTGTTTCTTGTAAACAATGTATAATTAGTTCTTATTTCTTTATTCAATTTCAAAATTTCTGCCTTTTAATTAGGTTATTTAGACCATTATATTTAATGTGATTACTAATGAAGTCAAGTTTAAGTCTTGCCATTTGTTTTTTTTTTTGTTCCATCTGTTCTTTGCTTCTTTTAAACTATTTGCATTAAGTACTTTATAATTTTTGCTTTATTTGTTTTGCTTATTTATTAACTTATTTACTTTTTTAAGGCTTTTAAAGGTTT